CGAATTGGTRTGAATATACTATGTATACAACCAGAGATATGAAAAATTGTGCTCTATATATGTAATAAAAATTGTAATGCATTCTGCTGTCATATATAAATAAAAAATTATCTAAAAATAATCAATTTGAAAATGTCTATATTTTAATTGGTGATATTAGACCATTTGCATTTAAAGAAATTACTGATATGATGTATCAATTTGGTAGTCAGTTTTTCAAATGAAGCTATTATTTCCATGTTTTCTTTTTTTCCATTCTAATTCTTCTGTTGAGTGAATGTAGTACTTGCATATTATTCTATTTTCTATTAATATTAATTTATTGTTTACCTACCTTCAAATATTTTAAGGGAATTATCTATAGATTATAAATATAAATATTGTAGATMTCATAGGCAAATTTTAATATCAGTACACCGTTTTGTGTGATATTAGATGTTTATAACAGATTACACTTAATTCAGAAAATCATTAAAAATCAATTAAAGCAATATAAGACATAAAAACAAGTGCAAGGGGCTGGGGTTGTGGCTCAGCAGTAGAGCAGTTGACTAGCATATGTGAGGCCCTGGGTGATAGAGCGCTCACCTAGCATGTACAAGGCCCTGGTTTGATCCTCAGCACCACATGAAAATAAATAAATAAAATAAAAGGTATTGTGTCCAACTGCAACTAAAAAAATAAACATTAAAAAATAGTACAATACCATCACAATCAAAACTACAATAAATGCTGAAATTAAATATTTCAAGGAATGATAAAAATATTGATAAACTGGAAAAAATAATACAATGTCAATTCTCCTCAAATTTAATGAAAGTTTCAATATAATCCTATTTGGGGCTGGTGTTGTAGCTCGGTGGTAGGCATGCTTGCCTAGCATATGTGAAACACTCGGTTTAATTCTCAGTACCACATTTAGATAAATAAAAATAAAGGTCCATCGACAACTAAAAAAAATATAAATATTTATGTGTGTGTGTGTGTATACACACACACACACACACACCCCTAATTTAAATTTTGGCAGTCTCTTTTTAGAAACTGATAAACCAATTGTAAAATTTATGTGAAAATGCAATAACCTAGAAAAGTCAAAGTCATTTTTAAAAAGAACAGAATGAAAGGATTTAATTATATGATTTAAAGACTTACTATAAAGTTATAGTAATGAAGACAGTGCAGTACTGTCATAACTACAGTATATACGTAATGCAACCAGAACGGAGTCTAAGAAATAGACCTACACATAGATGGTCAATTGATTTTAAACCAATGTGCCAAGGAAATCCAGTGGTCCTGAAACACTGATATACATATGGATGAAAACAAATCCCAAATTTTACCTCACTATAAACAAAGAAACTAAATCAAAGTAGATCATAAAAGCAAGAACAACACAACTTATAGACGAAAACAGGAGAGTATCGATAAAACTTTGGGATATGTAAAGATTTTAGGGACTTATAAAAGGCAAAAATCATAAAAAATTATTTGATATAATGGATTTTAGAAACTTTCTGCTAACACTAATTTTAAGGAAAGGAAAATGTAAACCATACAATGGAACAAAGGCTGATGGAATGTAGGTACCTCTTGATGGGCATCTATGAAGAACATACTAATTCTTACATAAGAAAAACTATTTGTTTTTTAAAAAATAGCAGACCCATAAACACATGGAAAAAATACACTAACTGATCATTAGGAAATTGAAAATAAAACCAAATGATAGAAATATGATTCTGCAGGCATTATAAAATTAAAATAAAAGGACCAACAACATCAAGTATTAAGTAGAATGTGGAAAACAGATCTTTTAACATATTGCTGATAGGAAACAATGATAAACTAGTTTTGCAAGAAAGCTCATCAATTTCCCATAAATTTAAGCATGTAGTTACTATTCAAGTAGCAATTTTATTCTTGGTTGTTTACCCAGCAGAAGTAAAAATATTATGTCCATGACAAGATTTGTGTACTAAAATGACCATAAAATTAATATTGTTTCAAACTAGTAAACACTTGGTGTCTATCAATAGAACAGACATATAATGAACTCAGCACTGAAAACAAAGAGAACCCTCACAAAGATATGGGTAACACAAAAAATAATGAACTAAGTAAAAGACAAAAACAAAATAATTTTAATATATGACTTCATTTACATGAATCTTGAAAATGAAATCTAAGTTGCAAAGCTTTTTTTTTTTTTTTTTTAAGTGTCTGCCTGGGCAAGGATTAGGCTGAATTGCAAATGAGTCACAAGGGAACTTTCTGGGGTATGATAGATATGTTCTACATCTTGTGATGGGTTTTATGGGTACATAAACTGATTATAACTAATTAAAATGTATAGTGTGTTTTTTATTAAGTTTAAGCAACATAAACAAATGATCTCAATAAAATTGATCTGAAAACTAACTTGAAGAAAAAACAAACTAATACAAAACATTAAATTCCTGAGTATGTGTTAAGTGAGAAACATAAGATATTCATACAGTAAACCAAAAATCATTATTGGGATAAATTTAAAAAAACTATAAAGATATGAATCACCATTTGACCTAGCCATCCCTCTTCTTGGTCTATACACAAAAGACTTAAAAACAGCCTACTACAGGACACAGCAACATCAATGTTTATAGCAGCACAATTCGCAATAACTAAACTGTGGAGCCAACCTAGATGCCCTTCAGTGGATAAATGGATTAAAAAAATGTGGCATATACACACAATGAAATTTTACTCAGCAATAAAAGAGAACAAAATCATGGCACTTGCAGGTAAATGGGTGGGTGTTGGAGAAGATGATGTTAAGTGAAGTTAGCCAATCCCCCCAAAACAAATGCTGAATGTTTTCTCTGATACAAAGAGGCTGATTCATAGTGGGGTAAGGAGGGGGATCATGGGAGGAATAGATGAATTCTAGATAGGGCAGAGGGATGGGAGGGAAAAGACGGGGCAGGGGATTAGCAAGGATGGTGGAATGTGTGATGGACCTCATTATCGAAATAGTGTCAACGTACTTTATATACAATCAGAAAATGAAAAATTGTGCTGTATACATGTAATAAAAACTGTAATGCATTCTGCTGTCATTTATTTTTTTAAAAACATCAATAAATAAAAGATATGAAGGAATATATGGTACTCATAATTTGGAAATCAAAATAGTGAAATGAATCTACAGATACAATATAATCCTAGTTACAAAAAAACCTAAAGATTCCTTTATTATAAAAATTGTGAAGTATCAAGAATAGCTTAGACTCTCTTGAAGATAAAGAACAAGGTAGAAGACAACTTAACCCATATTGTTCTAATTATGGCAGCATGGTAGAAGAATGAACAAATAAACAGATGGAACAGAATTGACTGTAAAACCATAATAAAGAATGTATGGACAATGATTTGTGATGGAAGTGACAGAGTGTAGGGCAAAGAAGAGTCTTTCAAATAAAACATCCCTATTACCCCTACCTTACTATAGTCATAAAGTCAATTCTAAATGGTTTATAATAAAGTAGTCAGAGATAAAGTAGGGAAAATATAGATAAAGATGCCTTATACAATATAATTAACAACTTCTATTGATCAAAGTGGAGTACAATAAGAAATAATAATAAAAACCACAGAATGACAGAAAATATATGCATGACAAATAATCATTAAAGGGCTCCTATCCAAATTGTATAAAGAATTTTTCACAATTAATAAGAAAAAGACAATCCAATTATTACAAAGTGATAGACACTTCAACACACAATTACGAAAAAAGAAAGCCAACCGCCAATAAATGCATTTTAAAAATGCACCAATTGCATTACTAATGAGGAAAATGAAAATTAAAAATATAAGAAAATGTCACTATGTTTACACAAATGTCTAAARTAAAAAAGTGACAACTTGAAGTCCTAATAAAGATACAACGCAATTTAAATTCCCATATTCTGCTGCTGAGTTAGCAAATTTGTATAATCACTTTGGAAAATCATTTGGCATTATCCAGAATATATACAAACATTATTAATCAGCATATGGGTTGTTTTTTACCCAACCCATATGCATATTAACATGGTGTATATCCACATAATAGTGCATCCATAATAATTACAAGCTGCATTGTTTATCTATAGAGCAGGATTGTTTGTAATAGCTAAAGATGGTGAAGCTCATAAATATATTATCAATAAAATGAATTAAGAAACTGCTGTACATATATGTACACACAGGAACAGAAATGGAATAAGAATGAACCAACTATTGCTGTATGCAATATGGATGAACCTCATGTACATAATACTGAAGAACAAAAAAACAAAGAGAAAAGAATAATTACAGTGTACTGATTCCATAGGATTAAAATTTTGAAAAGGACCCAGAACAGTGACTAGGAAAGGAACTAAAGGTGGAAGATACTGGAGTTCTTGTTATATGTTATTTCTCAATTCGGATGATGGTGACATGAGTGTGCTTCTTCTCACTGAGTTATTATATTCTGTGTTATACTTCTAAAGAGAACTTGAATACATACATATGTGTACATGCATGTATGAATGTATGCACAATTTAACTCTAAGAATGTTATTTAATGACAACAAATAAGATTTTTTAAAATTTGGATTACAATGATACATATTATGAACAATTTGACAGAATTATTTTTAAAATATTTATTTAAAAATCTTATCAACAAAGATACTCAGTTTTATCCTGTTACAATTTGCACATTTTTAATCTTTATTGTAAACAATAATGTGTTATCCATCAAATGATAAAATCAATAATGTTTTAAAAATCAGTTATCTGTTTATACTCTGAAATAAAAGATTTTTTAAAACTAACCAAAAATATCAAAATGATATAATTATGAAATATAAAAATGCATAATTAACCTTAACTCCCAAGAAATCTTACACATATATGTATTTATTCCCTATCATTCACATTTTTTTTTTTAAGGGAGAGAGAAATAGGTGAAAACCAAATATACACACCTCATGTTTTCAGCTGAATCTTCTGGCATTGGAGCAACAGTTTGCACAGCTGGGAGGTTTTTGCTGGTAGCACCATTCACAAAACTAGAAGAGGAGGAAGAGGAGGAGGACCCTGAATCCACGGCACCTGTTCCCAAAATAATAATTTTTAGTCTTAAATAAAAATTTATTTAATAAAATAATTTGATAATATTATTACAATTGATTTTCAAATAATTATTCATGTAAATTCAAAACAGAATTTCACAAATGAAAACCATTTGACCATTAGTGTACTAATAAATTGATTATGGTTTTAAATAACAGCTATTGCATTAAATAAAATCCAGTAGATTCACTTATGGTAAGCTAAAAAAAACTACATATTACAAATGGGGTATAAATAAAAGACAACAACAAATGAAAAAGATTCTAGATAAATGAGGCTGATAAAACAATGCAAATTTAAATGTGAAATTCTATCTATTTTTATTGCTATGTTAAAATATTTTTAGTTTTTACCATCTAAGACATAAATTACAAATTTGTGGCTCTGCAGAATCAAATGCTCACTTTGATAAATGCTTGCAGAAGAAGGTCTATATTTTGTACCTGATTTTGGAACAATGAGTTCTTCTCAAATATGAAGATACCATTTTAGAAGAGACTTTTCCATAATACCACATGTGAGTAATAGCAGTGGAGTTTAGGGACATCTAGTGTCCCTAAATATTATCATGTCTTATAATAATTCCCACAAAACTGAGTCATTTATTGGGATTTCTACTATAATATTTATAAAGCTCCTAAATGTGGATATGTAAATTGGTCAATGTGCCTAGTTTAGATGTTAGCTCACAGTTCATATATAATAATAATTCTAAGGAAGAAGTTTATTGCTTAATTTTATTCTTCATTTTGACCTTATATACTTTATAATATCACTTTCTGCTATCATTATTTTCTAAATCTATTATTCTTGAAATATACACTAAAAGAAAAGATTTCATGACTTTTGATTAGATAAAATAAGAAAGAGGTGATTTAATTTTCATTTACCAAAGTCTTAAGTAAGGACTTTATTCAATGAAAGTACTGCATGTAGATTATTTATCTACTACATTGGCATATTTTTAAAATAACACTTTCATAGCATATATTTTAGTAAAACCAAGTTTTATTCCTATTTGTACAAAACCAAACAAGTATAAAGAATAAGACTGTAACACTGAAAAGACTTTAATGTCTTCAGACAAGCCAGATATAATTATTTATAATATAGATAAGCCAAAGAGATTATATTCTTTAACAGAATGCCATTTATGTTTAGTTGCTAATATATAAATGATATATGTCTAATATAGTACATGTTCTACTTACTACAACCCCATAAGTGTGTTGTTCATGATATGTCAGACTCAGGTGATATGATAAACAAGATAGATACAGAAAGCACAAAGAAGAGCTATGAAATTAATAAAAATGGGAAGAATCTAAGTAATGATAATAAATGGAAAAGTTCAAGGCTATACAGTTTGGAGAAGAGAAGACTACTATAGTCAGGGAAGAAAAGTCAGGGATCATCTTGCGTTGTTTAAATACCTAAAATGGAATCACAAAGATTTGGGTAAGGATTTATTTAACTAATAATAAACAGGAACATTTCTGGAAATTTACAAAAAAAAGAGATATTTTTAGGCAGGCTTTTAAAATTTATAAAGATTTGGAAGTTTTAGTACCTACAATCACTAGGAAACTATTGGACAATGGATACAATTGTAATCTAAGTATAAAAATTATTTCAGAGTCAATCAAGGTTTCTTATTCACATGCACTTTTCACATGTTGAGGCTCTTGCATATCATCAAGGTTCTTAGGAGAGCTCTGTCTTTCCTTAGGAGATTTAGCAAAGTATGTATTAGGATTCAATAAGTAAATGTCACCAAATCCATGTTTTTATACTAATATTTTGATCATACTTTKATATTCTTGATATAATTTATTAATTTTTACATATTAAACTTCAGTTTTTAATGATCTTTTGCTTTTGCTCCCCAAATACCTTTTTAGCAATCTGATTTCACTCTGAAAGTAAAGAGCATCATGTTTTGAGGAAACTCAAAACAAAACCCAATACTGTCTCCTAAAATGACCACTAAAAATTGCATCCCAGAATCAGAGACAAGTTCTGAAAAGTTGCAACACAACATATAACCTTCTTAAGATTAAGGCAATCTTAAATGCTCAGGGTATCTTTTCATTTTAAGGTMCAATAAGAAAAAAATGAAGATATAGAAAACAGAAAGAAAATGATGAGGTATCACAAAAATATATAAGGACAATACCTGTTGTATTAATCATACTTTTTGGTGTAGCTCCAGTAGCGGCAAATATGTTAGAGGTACTGCCTGTTGGCAGCCCACTTCCTGCAGTGGTGGCTCCCACAGTAGTTACAGCTAAACTACCTGGAGGTGGCTTCTTTACAGGTACCACAACACTCCTGCAAAGAAAGAAATGATAAGAAATAACAAATATGAGGCTTAAGATGAATTAAAATCCTGCTATGTATGGCAGATACATAATGTTGAGTTTCACCTCTTTGCCTCCTTCCCAAGTTTTCTCCCTTCCTTTCTCTGTATATCAACCACCACATACATTTTTGTCTCTTTCTCTTTTTTCTCATCTCTTTTTTCTTTCTCTTTTTTCTTTTTTTTTTTTGGTATGGGGTATTGAACTCAAGGGCACTCAACCACTGAGCCACATTCCCAGCCCTATTTACTATTTTATTTAGAGACAGGGTCTCACTGAGTTGCTTAGTGCCTTGCTTTCACTGAGCCTGGTTTTAAACTTGCGATGTCCCTGCCTCAGCCTCCCAAGCCCCTGGGATTAACTGATATGTGCCACTGTGTCTGGCTCTCCATCTTCTTCTAATTTACAATTTTTTAAACTAGTGAAACCAACTTCATTATTGAAAAGTATTTGGGCATAAAGGAAATAATGTAAAATATATTGACTAGTAAAATTCATTTGACAAACATTAATGTAGAATCTGGACTTAATGAACCTTTCTTAAAATGACAAGTGTCTGTAATCATGAGTCAGAGAATATTGGGAAATATTTGTTCCAGTAGGCAAATTTTACATATGCATAGAGAATTTTTGACAAAATATACATAGAATATTAATTTTATCCACATCATATTCTAATAATATTCATAAATGCAAGAGCAAGGAAACATTTGACAGTCAACTTTWAAATTTTCTTCATAATAAAACTAAAAATTATTTGAAAATTAAGACGTAACATCTAAGGCAATAATGAGGTTATATTTTATTTTTCTGAACATAATTGAGTTATTTTTCCTATWCAGAATATTATAATGAAAGAGAATTGAAATGATACAACAGATATTTGGGTAAAGATGTATTTAGTCTTTGAGCCTTGATTTTTTGAATATTGAAGTTTGATATTTTGCTTTTTTTAGCATTTTAAGTGAATTTCATTTAAAAATTTCTGAACTTTATGTTGATTAAATGATAAATGTGGATAAATAAATTTAAAGCTATGAACAACAAAATTTTTCAAATATAAATATCTGTATTTCCTTGCAGTGAAGTTTCACCATTCTGAAGTTCTACAGCACATAAACTTCATTTCACAAATATTGTCCAAGCATTATTAAATAATCATTGAATTTACCTAGAAATTAGATGAGATATTTTAAGCTCAAATATAATACTTGAGACAGATGACTTACACAAAAATACCCAACCTGAAGTATGATTTTTWAAAAAAAAATATTTATTTTTTAGTTATAGGTGGATACAATATCTTTATTTTATTTTATGAGGTGCTAAGTATCGAACTCAGTGCCTAACTCATGTTAGGCAAGCACTCAACCTCTGAGCCACAACCTCAGCCCTGAATTATTATTTTTAATTGCATCTATATTTTATTATTTTTTATGAAAAAGTTTCATTTAAAGGAAACTATATCATTGGCCTACTCTCAAATAATAATAGAATTATTTATTTGGTACCAGGGATTGAACCCAGGGGTGCTTAAATACTGAGCCAAATTCCTAGCAATTTTTTATTTTTTATTTTGAGACAGGGTCTTGCTAAGTTACTTAGGGCTCACTAAGCTGCTGCTGGTTTTGTACTTGTGATCCTCCTGCCTAGCCTGCAAAGCTGCTGGGATTACAGGCATGTGCCACCAGGCCTGGCTAAATTTCTTAGACTTCCTTAATACAAAAGGAATTATTCAAAGAAACAATTTTGTTAAAATTTCTTCAATGACTATTTTCATACTAAAAATATAAATTTGTCATAATTATTATTCATAATTTTATGAGTATTTTAAATATGGTCTTATAATCTTAAATAATTTTACTCATGGTCTTATAATCTTAAATAATTTTACTCATGCCAAAATTTTTTCTCCATCAACTCCTTCAGAATACTTTCTTCTTTTCTCCTTATGGATGATGAGATGAAATTATTTAGACTCAATCCTGAACCCTCACAAACATATATTATGTTTTCAATTCCCACATTGGTCAGTTATTACTTATGCCTTCATTTGTTTCACTGAGAGGCAGTGTGACCTTGTGGAAGCCAATAGAAGATATGAAATTAGAAGGCCAAGGTTTGAAAAATGAATGACTCTCAAGCTGTGTATGTTTAATTTCAGTTTCTCACTGTAAAACTGGCAAAACCAAGGCATTTTACTTTATACATAAATGGGAATATTAAATGAGATTGTATCCAAAGGTACTTTGTAAATTAAGTTCCTAATAAATGTTAATAATGTCTAAAACGAAATAATTATCTGTCTATAGGATCCAGGGTATCTAGTTACAATGATCTATATTAAGGATCAGTAGAAAAGGAAAAACATATGCTAGCAGTTTTGGTTTATCATCAAAATTCTCTCAAAGCTTCTAAGTAATGTGAGATGCACTATCTTACTGGCCATCTAGTAACAAAAACAAAATCATTGGTTCTTAATTTGAAAAGAATTAATTAGTAAAATAACCATTTCTCTGCTCAAAATTTCTTATGAATAAAGAAATATACATTATTAATGGTGCTATAAATTTGTAGATAATAGAAAAACTATTATTGAAGATTCCTAAATAACAGATCATTATTAATCAATAGTATCTTATTCAGTATACAAGTTATGAGAAAGAAGTAACATTAAGAAAAATAAGTCACATAATGAGAGAAAAGTGTGACTCTCCAAATTCTGTAATGGTAGCTTATCAATGAAATGAAAAAACACCAAATACCTGACTCCAACAAAAAGTATCCGAATTGGGGGCTGGGGATGTGGCTCAAGCAGTAGCGTGCTCGCCTGGCATGCATGGGGCGCTGGGTTCGATCCTCAGCACCACATAAAAATAAAATAAAGATGTTGTGTCCACCAAAAACTAAAAAATAACTATTAAAAAAATTCTCTTTTTTTTAAAGAAAAAGTATCTGAATTATACAGCCAAAGACTCTAGACATTTCTCTTAATAGCAAGCTTATTAGGGTTTGGCAGTATACACACACACACACACACACACACACACACACACACACACATGAATAGTAACTCAAAACCCAACCTTTAGTGACCTATAGACCCGAGTTAGAATTCTACCTCTAACAAGGCCTCACTGTGTTGTGTTAGGCACATAAATCTCTCTAAGGTCCATTTTCTTCCCTGTTCAAATGGTTTGTACTGTATAAATTCTACTTTTATAATGCTAAAAGGAGATATGCATATAAAGAACTTAGCCCACCACTCAGAATATTATACATGGTCATTATTCTTATTATTACTATGGCCCCCAAAGTATCGATATAGTCTGAGTCTACATAAGCACAGTACTCAAATGGAAAAGAAACAATAATCATAGAATACATGGCTGTCATCACATATTACAAACAAAATCCTATGAGAAGTTTTAGGTGTCATGTTTTTTAGAATAATGAAAAACAGCCATGAGACCATAAGGGAACAGTTACAATGACAGTATATAAGGAAAATACGTCATGTGAGGGAAGCTGAAAAGACTAGAAAATTACAGTAAAAATGAGAAAAATTTTAGCAACTTTCAAAAATTTGAAAGTATGTGGATAAGAAACCAAGGTGAAACTTCCATATACCTCAAAATGACAAATAAGGATGAACAGGAGGAAAAAGTCTCTCATAACATTTATGGACTCCAATTTCCAAAAACTCATTGTTCAGATGGCTAGCATGACCACCTGAGAAAAGTCTGGCTGAGAGAAATGAGAAAGTGGATCTGATTGGTTTTTCAGATTTTTTTCCTGAATTTATAATTTTATGAATTTGTCAGGATAAATTCCCCTTTGACTGATATGGCCAAATGTTTATCTATAATTAGAGGATTACACATTCTTGTTCTTGGTGTCATTTTTTTACCAACATTACCCATTACTATTCYCTAACACCTCAAAATATCCTCTGTCCTTAGCAATCTATTTTATACTTTGAAAGTTAACAGTATTAATGTGTTGATACAAATTATTCATCTTTCAGATTAGTATTCAGTATTTACAATTACTTATATAATAAAAATAAAGATTTTCAACTCAGAAAATCTCAGTTATTCAATATTTCCCCCTGATTAATTATTCCACCTACACAAAGATAGTCTTATTGAAGAGTCTAAATACTCATTGCAGGTACTCATTTAGGACACATAAATGCACTCATACATATACAAATTTGGAAGGCACTTACTTTTTCTATGGTGAACATGTAACTTTAATATGAATTTCAAATAATGCGGCCACTGAAAAGGTAAGAACCACTGAACTAAACTATTTAAATATTCTGCTTTTCTTATAGATGTGCTCTTCATACTGATGGATATCTATAAATCCTCTATACTACAAACAACCACAACTGAATTTTTTTGATATCAAGAATATTTTTTCTATCCCTTCCCACATAATTTCAAACCTCTATTCTACACCTTTAAAACTGCAAACTACAAAACAGTAAGTAATTATTTGATTCTATAGATAATCTCTACATACCATAAGGTTGTAAAGGTTATCATCAAAATAGTGCAAGTCAGGAAATATATCAATGTAATTCACTTCTATAAAATTTTTCACAGAATGATAATGTTTTTAATACATTGAATAATACATCATGCATATCATTCTTCCATCACTGAATKTATTCCATTTCCAACTAGGTATTTGAGGTATGATCTTCTTCTTTAATTCACTGACTCATTTAATAAATCTTTGTGTGAGTGTGATATATGAGGGCCTGTTCTAAGTTCTGGAGGCACAATCAAGTATAGAACAACATTCCTGCCCTCACGGAATCACATTCCAATAGGAAGAGCCAGAAAATAGAAATATATAAAAGAGTAAACACAATATATCAGTTGGTAAATGCTCAAACAAAAGAAAAGTATGGACAGGGATAAGGAATATTATTCAAAGGGTAGTTCAGAGAAGACTGAG